GCGCTGCATGGCGGTGGCCGGAGCCGTGTGCCCCTCTGCCACCCTCCCTGAGTGCTTGGGACCGGAGCCTGCCCACCACACCGCCCCGGATGGCTGGAGCCCCCGGCTGCTGTATGTATGGTGGTGGTGTGCAAGCGGGCGATGCTTCAGGAAGGGGAGGCTGGGTGCAGATCCAGGCTTGGCAGGGAAGGAGGGAGAGGGCTCAGCACCGTTGGCCCTGGCTGCCATCCGTGTCTTGTGGTGCTGTTCACATCCTTTGAGCATCTCCCACTCCAGCCAGTGCTGCCTCTGATTCTCTTGGTGCATCCCCGGGGCTTGCGGACATCCCCTCCTGCCAGCCTGGGGCTGAAGGGAGGTGGCAGGCCTGAATGTGGGTTGGACATGCACCTTTTCTCCAGCTGGCTGGCTCTGCCTCTCCTTTCCTCCACCCTAGCACATCTGGGAGCTCCCTAGCCCCGAACAAACAGCTGCTTTTTTTTCTGAGCAGTTGTGCTGATCCTCAAAAACACCTCAGGCTGAGGTGCCTTGGTAACGGAGAGCTGTGGGGAGCCTTTGCGGGGCAGAGTCTCTGGGTTGTCCCTGCAAAGGCAGCCTCACCACCACAGCTTGGTGGAGCATCCCAGGCTCTTTTGCAATGGACCTGTCATCCCCGAGGGCTTTTAGCCAGCAGGCCCAGGCTGTGCCTTTTGCTGGGTGCAGGCTGTCTTTAACTGAGCTGTCAGCAACATGGCCAGCACCTCTGTGTTCCACAGGGCTGCCTCACAAGAGCAGGTACTACTTGGCCAGTGGTGCTGGAGATTCACCTAATTTCCAGCCACTTGGTCCTGAGGATGCTTTTCTGCTCCAGCCTCACCATCCACCCTAGAAGCAGGTTGTGCTTTGCACATATTCCTCCTCCCCTGATCTAATAGCCAACCCTCCTGTGTCTTCCAGGAAAGCTATTGCCAAGTCCAGCCTCCAGCACATGGTAGCCCAGCCAAACCCTGCGCTAGCTGTGAGGAATGACTCGGAGAGGCAGATACGCAGCACTGTGGACTGGACCGTAAGTTGTAGCACATTTTGCTGGGTGTTGCATGGAATGGGCTCCCGGCCAAGAAACAGCAGGCTCTTCCCAGGCTGAGGCTTCCCAGGTGACTCTGGCCTTGACACATTTACGACCTCTGCTGTTGCCACCAGCTGGTGCCAGTGTCTGTGCTGCTGGCGGCGCCCTTTGATGCTGCCAGGAGAGGTTGCAGGCACAGGTGGTTCCTGGGAGAATGGCACAGCTCTGCCACTGCCAGCTCGTCTGTGTCTGGCAGCTGAGGTCTTCTGGGGGCCAGGGCTGGGACCAAGAGACAGGAGCACATTTTAAGCTGCACCCTGAGGTCGTAGAACAGAAGCTGTTTCAGAGGAGTCCCCTGCATTGAATTTTGCCCTGATGTCTCCTCTCAGGAGGGATGGAAGCAGCTCCCCTGTGCAGGACACTAGAGTTGGTTTCCTGGGGCCTTCTCGTTTCCAACAGGTGGGCCACGGCAGCAGCTTTGTGAGGTTTCCTCTGTCCAGATGTTGGCCCTGATTGTTCTTTGCATCCTGTCTCTGCCTACACCTAACTCCAACTTCCCACCCCACAGCATCATCCACTATCTTATCCCTCACACAAAGCATTTTAGGGGCTAATATACCATCTGGCGGTGCTCTCGGAGAACTGTGTTTTGTCTTTCAGGAGACTGCAGTCTATGGGGAGCATATCTGGTTCGAGACCAATGTCTCTGGGGACTTCTGCTATGTTGGAGAGCAGAACTGTATGGCAAAGCTGCTGGTGAGTCCCGTGGGGTCACTCGCCTCCCTGGCTGGGGCCACAGATATGAGTTGTGCTGCCACCCTGCAGGGAGACTGTGAAGGCAATGCTGCTGCTGCTGCTGGGGGACCTGCTGGGGGACATACTGGGGTTGGGGGGGCTGCCAGGGCGGGGAGTGTGTCCCTCCTACCTCTGTTTCCCAATTTCTGTCAGTGCTGGTGCTCAGTTTGCAACAGGAACCTGATGCAGGGCTGCTGCTCACCCGGAGGTGATATGATGATATTCCAGGGAGAGGCTGTTGGGATCCCACACCCTTAGAGGGATGATCTGAATTCAAGAACAGATGAATAGAGGAGAAAAGTGAGCGCCAGAGACCCTGTCCTGCTGCCTCCTGACCCTGCAGGCAGCACTCATCTTATGGCGGGGTTGCTGCAGTCCTCCCTCCCAGCTTGTAAGCTTTAGTCCTGCTTGTGGTGCAGGACACAAGCACTGATGTCATCCTGTGCCTGCCTGTAGGACTTATCATGAGAGCCCTGCAGGTGTCTCCTAGACCAACTTCCGTGCTGCTCTCAGGCAGTGTCAGGAGAGGCCAAGGACTGTGGGCAGGACAGTGGGAGAGCACCTCCCTGCTCTGTCCCAGACTTGAGAGCATCTGCTCTAGGCACATGCTTAGATCTCTTCACTTGCAAGGGGTCTAGGTTATGTCTAACTTTCCTATAGGACTTGTTCTGTCTTCTGAACTATATGAAGGACGTGTGATGGAAGGCTGAGCTTGCCAGCCTCTGAACACTACTATTCACATGCATGTTTTTTCCTCCCTCTTTCTCATCCTCCAGCAAAAACCCCTCTCCAGGCGTAAGTGTGCAGCCTGCAAGATTGTAGTGCATACACCCTGCATTGAACAGCTGGAGAAAGTGAGTAGAGCCTGTTAAGCCCTCTCTGTGGCTTGCAAAGCTGTAACAGCCTTTTCCTGGGCAGCCCTTCCTTTTGGGTAGTGAAACACAAGGAGATTGGGGAACTGCAATGTATCATTGCAAAGAGGGGTATTCTGAGGAGACAATATCAAAAGGAGCACCTAGTGACTCATTTGGGACCCCAGGCCCCGTTTTGTTCAGTAACAGAGATAAGTGAGGGGTGTTGTGGCAAGCACTGAACATCTGCAGATACTCTGGGCCTGCTGTAGTAAACTACAGTAGGTTTCCTTTGAGTATGATGGTTTTACCATTTCCTCTCATGTGTGTTCAATCTACAGATAAACTTCCGCTGCAAACCTTCCTTCAGGGAGTCAGGATCCCGGAACGTACGGGAGGTGAGAGACCTGCCACGGCTGCTGCCCACATCTTAATATGATGCCATTAATCACACATTAATCACATGTCTGCCCCCTCCCCTTTCCAGTTTGGTGGCAAAGATGTCAGATGCTGCCAGCATGTTGATCGTCACAGTGCAGGCATCGTTCTGCCTCCTGGCGCCAAGGGGTTGACACAGGGAAAGGGGTGTTTCTTTGCAAGGCAGTGGTACAGGCTGGGTGTGAGGAATGAGGAGCTCGCAGGCAGCAAATGCAGAGCCTCTTCTGGTTTGCATGTCCTAAAACTCCTGCTTCTGCATAGGGGGGAACCTGCAAACAGTGTTTTCCGGAAGTTTTTCCCCCGCTGTGCTGGTCCCCAAGCACATAGCTGTGGCAAACAGCAGGTTCCCAAGTCTCCCACAGTGTGGAAGGATGCAGTATGGGCTCACTTCTGGCTTTGTCATGCAGCCCTGATCTGGGTGCCACAGGTACTCCAGGTAGCAGTGAAAGATGCCTTTAGTGGTTCTGTCAGAGCCCTTTAACCCATGTTTTAATGTACTGGGCTTAAGCAGTGGTCTGGGACCTGTCCGCTGAGCTGCGCTGGTGGAAGCACCCGGCAGCCTCATGCTTCACCCTCCAGCCCATGGAGCCAGTGTAGCCCACGCAGTGCTCTGGAGTGGGACTGGTGGCTCTGTTGTCAGCCGTTTTGGTAACACAGCTGCTGCCCCCATACCGTGTTTGTGGTGGCACAGCAGACGCAGTAGGGGAAAGGTACTCAAACACAGGGCTGCCTGCTCAGAAATGCCAGCATGACCTGGTAAGGTGAAGCTTTTAGCATCACTTTAAACCTTCCTTTCTTCCTTTGCTTGTTCTTCCATGCCTCTTTCCCATATCACTCTTAACCCAGCTCCCTTATTTATCCTTCACTTACTATTTGGGCTCTGATAACAACTCTCTGTCTCTGCTCACTCCTCTGTCTCTATTTTCCTCCTTTCCAACATCTGTGAATTTTCTCTCCCCCCCCTTTCCTGTCTTTCCTCCTTTTTCTCGCAGACCCTGCTTCTTCATCCTGTCTTGCTAATACTCCTCAGTTCCTCCAAGGGCTCTTCCCTCGTGTTTCCTAAAAAGGTGCTTTTCTGGCCTTTGTGCTGCCAGGGATCCCCTTCAGGGTCAGTCCTTTCCCTAGATGTGCCTGCTGGGACCCAGAACTGAGCTCAAGGCATACCCCCTGCCTTCTTCTCCCACTGGATTAATGTCTGCTAAAGCCAACGGGATTCTTTCTCCTCTCCCATGTGCTGCAATGCAGAGCAGGCAATACTGGAGGTGACCCAAACCTCCTGCCAGTTTCTGCCTCTATCATCATCATAACCCCAAAATCAGGCTGTTGGGCATGACTGCACTGGGCTGTGAACTCGCATTCCCTCCTCTCTTTGCTGCCCTCCCTGCAAGGCCGTCCCCAGTCCAGAGCTGGAAGAGGTGGGTGGGATTTAGGAAATGTGGTACTTCACAACAGAACTTCTGACCTCCTCACAATTCTCCTGCAAGTCCCAGCCCTCACCCACCGTGAACTTGCAGGCAGGGAGAAGGTGCCTGCCAGCAGCCTTGCTCCCTCCCCGCGGGCAGGGGCTGAGGCAGGCTGGCAGGACTCGCCCTGGGGTGAAGAGCCAGGGCGAGGTGAGTCGGGGGCTTTGGGGCTGCTGCTTTCCTTGGGGAACGTGGAGGTAGGCTGTTTGCTGCTTAGCTGTGAGCACTTTCATCTTCTTGCCATGGGCACAAACTGTGTTTCCCTTTCACCTGGCGCTGGGGGCATGTGGGCAGAGATGTTAAGGGAAGGAGATGTGATTTATGGCCAAAGTAGTGCTCCGTGCTACTGCTTGCCCACTCTTTGTTGGGTTTACTTCATGTGATTCTCAGTCTTTGGTTTCCCTCCCCTCATTCCTGCTTTTTCTGGTTTTAATTCCCTCTTCTCTGAGCACCCTTATTTGGCCTCTTGCCCCCTGAGTCTTCAGCTTTGCCTTCTCCCAGAGGGTTGGGGCTGGTGCATGTGAGCAGTGGGCTTGCTGCAAGAGCAGAGGTTCTGGCTGGCCTGGGTTCATTTCTTCTGCCTGTTCCTGCATTCTCTCACACACTGGGCCTTTCTTTCCTTATTTTTTTTGTTCTTTTTTTTTCCTTTTCCCCTTAGCCCATTGTTGTCCGACATCACTGGGTACACCGGAGGCGGCAGGAAGGGAAATGCCGGCAGTGTGGCAAGGTGAGAGGGCATCTTGTTTTTTCCTCTCAGCCTGAAGCTAAGGTCAAACCAGAGACAAGAACAGGGCTGGAGACCAGGGGTATCCCACCGTTCCTGTTTGACATCAGCAACAGCCTACAGCAAAACCAAGACACGTGCCCTGTTTTGCACTGTGAAGCACTACATAAGTTCTTCCCACATAGAGCTGTTCTCCCCCTGAGCCCAATCAATCCTGGAGGGGCCTGTCTTCCTGACATACTTTCCTTGAGCAATAGTAACACCCTGCAGAGTGCAGTGGCCTCCCTGGTGCCATAGTGGCAGTTGGGGCTCTCTGACAGGGATCCAGAGGGCTCCAGCTGCAGGCGTGCTCACTTTGTTGACATCTTTTTTGGCGGTGGGAAAGTCCTGTTGGATGGTAGAAAGCTGCGAGAGAATTTCCTAAGCCTCTTATCCTTCCCTCCACAGGGTTTCCAGCAGAAGTTTGCCTTCCACAGTAAAGAGATTGTAGCCATCAGCTGTTCCTGGTGCAAGCAAGCGGTGAGCAAAGTCCCCCATTGAACATCTTACCAGCCTGTTCTGCACCTAGTGACCTTTGATTTCTGCTGGGACTCCCCAAGGTGCTTCTCTGCAGCCTGCCCTTAACAGCTCCTCTTACTGAGAGGGGCTGTACTGTGGTAGCTGTGAGCTCCTATGAGAAACTTTCTCCTCCTTGCTTTCCCATTACAGAGTTCCTGCATGCTTTCCTCCAGCACTCCCTGCGCTTGCATGGAGTAGCTGAAAGGAGGAGAAGGTGGCTGTCCCCAACAAACTGAGCAGCTGAGTTTTCTCTCTGTCTTCTCCTTCCCCAGTATCACAGCAAAGTGTCATGTTTTATGCTGCAACACATCGAAGAGCCCTGCTCTCTGGGGGCTCATGCTGCTGTCGTTGTTCCCCCCACCTGGATTCTGCGGGTCCGGCGGCCCCAGGTAAGTTACCTCAGCTCTTGTGGCTCTTCCATGACTCCTGCTTGCCCAGCAGCTCCTCACAGAGTTTTTGGGTTTGTTTCTTTTCTCTCTAGAATCCACTGAAATCTAGCAAGAAGAAGAAGAGGACATCGTTCAAGCGGAAATCCAGCAAAAAGGGGGCCGAGGTAAGAGATCAGGGGACAGGGAATGATCTTGTCTTGGAAGGCCTGAGGGACTGGGCAGTGAGGAGCAGGACTGGGAAACAAGGGGGCTTTGCTGGGTCTGTACTGAGGTTAAGGAAGGTGAGGTGGAGGGAGGGTGCCTGCTGACAGGGCAAATCCCAGCTATAAGGCTTACGGGGTGGCTGGGACATTCTCTTCCACTCCTGACCTGCAGGATGTTAGGGCTCAGCTGGAGGTGGGAGTTTGTGTTTCCCTGAGTTAGTTGAAGGACCTGCGGTGTCTCTTGCAGGAAGGGAGGTGGAAACCGTTTGTCATCAAGCCCATGCCAGCTCCTCTTATGAAGCCCTTGCTGGTGTTTGTGAACCCCAAGAGTGGTGGGAATCAGGTATGGCCTTGTCCTACATCTCCCTGGGAAGGCAGCTCTGCCAGGGCATTGCCATTTGGATGCTGAGGTCTCATCATAGTTTTGGTGGTGTCTCAGCTGCAGAACAGACAAGACAACCCCTGCAATGCCAGTTTGCTGCCCGGCAATTCCCACCTAGGCCAGGCTTTGCCTGAGACCCCTGGAACGATGTTGTCTTGGCCTGTTCCCAGGACCAGGTGCCGCCTTCTGCCATCCAGGGAACCCCCTGTTACCTGAAGTCTTTCTTCTCCCCATAGGGAGCCAAAATCATCCAATCCTTCATGTGGTATCTCAACCCACGTCAAGTTTTTGACCTCAGCCAGGGTGGACCCAAGGAGGCGTGAGTACTGATGGAGGCAGCACCCTTGTCTCCCCCATCCCTGCCCCAGATATTCCTTCCCAGAGCTCTCCCCACAGCTAGCAGAGGCCTGATGGTCTGTAGCTCTCTTGTGCAAAGAGACCTCCAACAAGTTCATGCTTTGAGAGTCCTCTCTTAAGATATCTTGTGGTCACTCAGCAGCTGGTCTAATCTTAAAGCTAGGGGCAAAGAGACCCGCTGTGGGTAAGGTTCCCAGACCTATTTCATAATATTCGATGTCATGTGAGTCTTATCTGTTTGCTGCATTTTGGTTTATCTATGTGTATGCAGACTGTGGACACCCCTCTTCCTCTGCAAGAGCTGGTGAAGCTGAAGTTACCATGGCTTCGCCCACTGCTGTGATGGTGGGGAGGGAGACATGCATGTGGCTTTGTGAGGGCAGGGACCCCTGTGTAACACCTTCGGTGCCTCGTCCCTTCTCACCCTCCCTGTTCCCTGCAGGCTGGAGCTGTACCGCAAGGTCCACAACCTCCGGATCCTGGCGTGCGGGGGAGATGGCACGGTGAGTCCTCCAACCCCTTCATGCCTGCAGTGCCCTTGCCCCAGGTCTTTCCAGTGCTGGCAGCAGCCCTCTTTACTGTAGCCCAAAACATGCGCACTGTGTCTGTGCTACAGCTGGTGGCACTGGATGCTGTAGGTCCCCTCATGCAGTGCTCCAGGGAGTGCTAGTCTGTGGTATGTCTGGATTTGTAGCCCTTTTGGGGGACAGTGCCCTCACGGGGGTTACTGATATCTCCTGAAGCACTTGTTTGGAGTATTAATGACTCTCATTGGCCTTGGTGGTAGCTAAGGGGACCCCATCTCTGCCATCACTATTGCTCTGTGTCACCTCCCTCTGCCTGCTGGTCCCAGAAATAACCAGCTGTTCCTTTGCACTCTCTTGCTCGAGCAGGTGGGCTGGATACTCTCCATTCTGGATCAGTTACGCCTCAACCCACCTCCTCCTGTGGCCATCCTGCCTTTGGGGACAGGGAACGACTTGGCCAGGACACTGAACTGGGGTGGGGTAAGTGATGAGCACAAGAGCCTGCTGCTGACAGAGCAGGGCTGAGTGCTTCAACTCCTCTTCCAGACACGGGTGGGGATTTGCACGGGCTGGGTGTTCTGACTTTCCCTAAACACAGACCAACAACTAAGTGCCATTTGGATGTTACTGTTCTTCTGACATGTGAATTATTCTGCATTAGATTATAATCTATTAGGACACTAACAAAAGCAATCATTATTTCGAACTTCAGGGGATTTTTAGAAGGAATATGTATTGTTTTAAATCAAAACTCCCACTTTGTTGTGCATTCAAGTAGAATCGATCTTTTCCACATATTTTGCTCTGGGATGTCTCCCAAATCCCACAGTCTCTGGGACATTTCTGCAGGAAGCAGGTAGGAGACTCACCAAGTCCTGCTCTTCACCAGGGTTACACGGATGAGCCTCTGTCCAAGATCCTGTCGCATGTGGAAGATGGGGACATTGTGCAGCTCGATCGCTGGAACCTTCATGTGGAGCCAAACCCTGATGCAAGCCCTGAGGAAAAGGATGAGGCAGCCAGTGAGAAGGTGGGACACCTCCTCCCATTGTTTGTTCCCTGTGCTGGGGGTCTGCATTCTCCTTTCTCCCACTAGCTCAAGCAGCCCCAGCACCTGGGTCTTACCGTATTGGGTTGGTATTTCCCTGTCCCTGCTCCAATTCCACTCCTCTTCTCATGGCTCTGACCCACAGCACTCCTTGTGAGGCATGTAGAGATGAGAACTAAATGTCCACCAGAGGTTTTTAACCACAGCTTGTGACAAGTGTAAGCCCAGTACCCTCTGAGACTGTTTCTTTAGCAGAAACGTGGGTGATTACAGTACCTCAGAGAGCAGAGTGTGTCCCCTTGGGCCATGTCCCTTACCTCTAGGAGCCAGGGGTCAATCCATCATCTCAGGCTGGTGACCTCTGTATTTTCCTTGGGGGAGGGCAAGCGAACTCCCTCAGCCTCATGAGCACCATACAGTGGCTCTGCTGTAGCCTGACCTTGTCTTTGCCGTGGCCATTTGCTGGCAGCCTCATTCTTATTCCTCCTCTCCCTTTCAGCTCCCCTTGGATGTCTTTAATAACTACTTCAGCCTCGGCTTTGATGCGCGGGTGACCTTGGAGTTTCACGAATCCCGAGGTATAGGGGGGTGGCAGGGCTGGGACAAGGTCTGTGGTGAGGGGGTGCCACAGAGGTGGGTCTGTAAAATGTTCCTTAGGAAACTGAGCAAGAGGATTGCCCCCGGGCATAAGGCTGGAGGCAAAACCTGGGGAGCAAGTGGAGGCTGCCAGAGGGGAAGAGGGGTGCCTGCATGGGAAGAGAGCTGGGTGCTGCCTCCTGGCTGAGGCTGGAAAGAGAGCTGTGTCTGGGGAGAGCTGGCAAGTGAAGTATTTCCATGTGCAGGCCAATGACCTGGACTTTTTTCTTCTATCCCTAGAGGCCAACCCAGAGAAGTTCAACAGCCGGTTTCGGAATAAAATGTTCTATGCTGGGGTGAGTGTGTGGAGGATATCTGGGCATGACTTCATAGTAGCCTTAGCATCAGCTAGAGCACAAGCACGGCCCTGCCTCCTGTCTGCACCCTAAACTCACTCATCCAATTTACATGGGCCTTCATGTGCACCCAAGCAGAGCCCCCCTGAAGCTGGAGAGTTGCTGGAGAAAGGCTGCAGCCTTGGGAATTGCAGCTCTTCTTCGGTTGCGAGCGCTGCTGGTGGTACAGCTTGCTCTCTGGCCTGCAGTACAGTTGCTGTCTTGATCTCCTGCCACTATTGTTCTTGTTCTCCGGCTCACAGGCAAGACCTCCCCAGAGCTGTGGGGAGGCAGGCTGTCCCCCATACAGAGGAACCTTTCCATAGAGTCCCCATGCTACTTGGTCTTTTATTTTATACCTTGGGCCAGTTACAGATTCCTGGCTAATTATGCCATCCTCCTGTATCTCACCTCTAGAACTTTGTGTCTCAGTGTTGTATTTGTTCATCCATCTCCCCATCCTCAATGTAACTCCCTACCCAGGTGGCTGGGTGACCAGTATGTGAGCAGGATTAAAGGCCAAGTGCTGCTCTGTACCATCTCACATCTCTCCTGTTTGTGTCTCCCCTTCTGTCTGTGCAGTTAAACCCAAAGGGGACCCTAGGGCCATACTGTCTCTCCTGTTATCTCTAGATGGGGTCACATCAGCTCTGGTTCATGGTTCTTTATCAGAGCTTGAGACTGAATTTGTCTCCTGTGACTCGAGCCTCTCACCAGAGGAGACCTACCTTGCCAGCTCTTCCCTAAAGCCAGGACTGGGCTGGCAAGGGATTGGGGCATGTTACTGAAGGTGCCCTGAGGTTTTGGTAGGCAAAATAGGAAGTGGAATGGATCAGGTTGTTTTGGGAAGGGGAGAGGAGAGGGCTTCTACCAGTGGACGAAGAGGGGGATTTGCTGCTTTCAGCAGCTGAGGTCTGAAGGTCAGTGGCAGGCTTCCTGGCTGCCCACTTTGGTGAACATCTGGGCACTAACACTGTCTCTTCCCTTGGCAGACAGCTTTCTCGGACTTCCTCACCGGGAGCTCCAAAGACTTGGCAAAGCATGTCAAGCTGGTGGTGAGTGTGCAGGGGTGCTCTGGGGCAAGGAGGGGGGTGAGCTGCGGAGGCGTGAGGAGCGGTCCCTTGGCATGCTGAGTATCTCACAGTTGGGGAGAGTCCTGGGAGGATCAGCCTCCCCTGGCTTGGAGAACAGTCACTGTAGGGAGCAGAGGAGGGTGGCCCTTTCCTCCCGGGTGGGTAGGGTGGGCCAGCCCTCCTCCTCACAGCAGTCTGAATGCCACTGTGGTGTCTCCAGTGTGATGGGACAGACCTGACCTCCAAGATCCAGGACCTGAAGCCCCAGTGCCTGGTCTTCCTGAACATCCCCAGGTGAGCTGCCCCAGGACCTGCCCTCGTGTGCTGGACTCCTCACCCCCCAACCACAGATCCCTGCCCAGGTTTGGGGTGCCTGTGCATGCCTCACTCACCATCCTTCACAGGTACTGTGCAGGCACCATGCCCTGGGGCAACCCCGGGGAGCACCACGACTTTGAGCCGCAGCGCCATGACGATGGCTGCATTGAAGTTATTGGCTTCACCATGACGTCTCTGGTGAGTCAACGCTGTTGCTGGTTGTATCTGGCAACCAGGGGAGTGACTGGTACCACTGATCAGGCGTCAGCCAGCCCACCAGCTCCACAGATTCTCTCCTGGGGAGTTGTGATCCTGGCCTGTATGACAGCGTGAGACTTAGGCAAGGTGCTGTCATGCCCTGGTCTCTGTGGATCCCTTCCCACTGAGATCAGGCCTGAGACCCTCAGAACTTGCTCCACTTGTAACATCTGGCTGACAGCAGGTGCTTCTCCCATCCACCCTCCAGTCCATGCTCTGCTCTCACTCTGGACACTTTCGCAGGCTGCCTTGCAGGTGGGTGGCCACGGGGAGCGGCTGTGCCAGTGCAGGCAGGTGGTTCTCACCACGTCCAAGGCCATCCCCATGCAGGTAGATGGAGAGCCCTGCAAGCTGGCGGCTTCCTGCATCCACATCTCCCTGCGCAACCAAGCCAACATGGTGCAGAAGACCAAGCGGCGCAACTCCATGCCTCTGCTCAATGAGTAGGTTCCTCAGATCAATCTGCCACCTCCTCTCCAAGGCGGAGGGGTGGAAGGGGAAGGGATGGGACTGATCCATCACTCCCAGAGGCATTTCAGTCCTCTCTCAAGGAGGGCCTGAGAAGGGATCAGGTCACAGAACTATGGCCAGATCCTAATGCTGAAGAAGCTGCTGGTGCCAAGCTTCCCACCCTAGTCTCTGCACAAGACTCTGCTCTTGCCAGTTTTTGAGGGGTAAGAGGGATAAGAAAGTGGACTGTCACTTTCTGATCCCTTCTCTTTTTCCGTCTACCCTGCATGCAGCCAGCAGCCAGTGCCCGAGCGGCTGCGAATCCGGGTGAGCCGAATCAGCATGCGTGACTATGAGGCACTGCACTACGACAAGGAAAAGCTCAAGGAAGCCTGTGAGTGACCAGCTGAGTGACCAGGGGGTGGGAGCCATGGTCCTTGAGTCTGGCACTGCCCTCAGCTAAGCTGTGTGAGGTGTCGGGGATGGGGAACAGGCTGTGCCCTGAGTTGTATCTATGCCTTGTTGTGCAGCTGTGCCACTGGGGATCATCGTGGTTCCAGGAGACAGCGACCTGGAGTTGTGCCGGACCCAAATCGAGAGGCTGCAGGAGGTGAGCCTCTGCGTGGGAAGTGGTCACGGCTGGATGCTGAGGATGGAGGGACTCAGGGAAGGGATTTCTAAGCTTCCTTGACCTGCACGCACCAAGACACACACTCCTGCTTCTGGTAGCAGGTCACAGTTTGCCTTCACCATGTAGTGGAAGCAGAATCCCAGGCTGGATGGCTTGTTGCTACCTGGTCTCTGGCAGCTTCTTTCTCAGGGTTGCCCTTCTGACCTTATCCAGTCCCAGAATGTCGGTGACCCAGAAAAATTATGAGGCAGTGGAAAAAGCCAGAACACATCCTTTGGGGACCTATTACGCCCTGAGTGTTTGGGGAGGCCTTTCCTCTGTCCCTTTGTTTGCTGTGCTGTGTTCCGTCAGCCCTCTGTGGGCTTCGTGTTTCCTGGCACAGCTCTGCCCCCCGCGAGGTGCCTGGATTAGGGTTGTCCCCCTTCCAACTCTTTTCATTTGTAAGTACTAACTTTTGTGCTCCTGCCAATGTGCGGCATGGCTGTGTAACCCTTGCTCCTGGTGAGCAATGCCTTCTGAGCCCACAACTTGCCTCCTGGCACCACACTGCTCTGTCTGATTTTTCTCCCAGAAGGTTGAAGAGACCTTGCTCAGGCCTCAGTGAGCAGGTTCTTATGCCTGATGGAATTCCATCCAGCATGTGGTGCATAGTGTCCTGAGCAGCTGAAGTGCAGAGCTGCTTGCCCAGGCTGGCACATTGGCATCTGCTCCTTTGCCTGCTCTGCATGCCTGTCTCCTTCTTGCCTTGTGCCCAGGCACTGGTGAGGGCATGCAGGCAGGCACATGGCTCGCAGCTCAGAGATTAACACTTTCCTTCAGCATCAGCCTGGTAGACTGATGCCTCTGCAACCTCCTCTAAACCTGTGCATTGAGGTTGCTGTTCCTTAGTCACCTCATGGTTTAACTCTTCTCTGTCCTTAGGCAACCGCTGTGCTCTGGCCTCAAAGCAGAGCAGGGACCAGGGACCTTGGCCAGGCAGTGTGTAAAGCCAGATACGACAGCACATTAAATGCCACTAGTGGGATGAGAGAGGGGCTGGGGGGGCACACAGACAAAGGCTGTAATGGCACACCTTGCCTTTCTGCAGGATTTCCCTCCACAGCCTTCTGCTTTAGAGCACCTGCACTTTCAGGTGTGTATGGCCTCACTCCATCCCCTGGGTCCATCTGTCACGTCTACTGTGCCAGTCTTGTGAGTTCATCTTGTAGCACCTCTCTCTAGTGTGTCGGCTCCAGTCTGTCCCATGCTGCTCTCCATTGCTGTGTTGCTGTGTGCTCTGCTTGTGTTCAAGTTGCCCTTTTCATCCAAGTGCCTGTGTTCTTCCATGTCTGTAAGGGACCTCCCAAAAGCAGGAGGGATGCACCGGGGAGAGATGGGGAGGCCAAGAGACACAACTTTATCCTCTCTTTTCTTATGCAGGAGGGAGAGGGAGCTAAACCGAAGACACTGTCATCCCAGAAGCTGTCACCCAAGTGGTGCTTCCTGGACTGTGAGTACTGTCCTCCCCTGAGAGTGCTGAGTGTGGCTGGCAGTGTGCTAGTGAGGTCCTTTGGTCTGCTCAGTGGAGGTAGCAAAAACACAAGGGTTCCTGATGTGTTAGAAACCACAGACTCGCCTGAGAATGGTCATGTAGGAATTAGGACTTCTCCCCCCAAAAGGTGATGTGATCCATAGCCCAACTGACGTGCATCTACACCAATGCATGCAGCATGGGCAACAGACTGGAGGAGAGGAGCTGGAAGCCATTGAGCAGCAGGAAAACTATGACATAGCTGCCATCACGGAAACATGGTGGGATGATTCACACAACCGGAACACTGCAGTGGATGGCTATAAACTCCTCAGTAAGGAGAGGCAAGGAAGGAGAGGTGGTGGGCTAGCCCTGTATGTTAGAGAGTGTTTTGACTGTATAGAGCTTGACAATGGTGACGATCAGGTTGAGTGTTTATGGGTAAGAATTGGAGGGAACGCCAATGAGGCAGATACTGTGGTGGGAATCTGTTGTAGACCACCCAGCCAGGATGAAGAGCCAGGTGAAATATTCTGTAAGCAGCTGGGAGAAGTCTCTCAATCGCTAGCCCTTGCTCTCAGAGAGGACTTCAACTTAGCAGATGTCTGCTGGAAATACACTACAGTAGAGAGGAAACCCTCTTGGGTTCGTTCTTGGAGTGTGTGGAAGATAGCTTCCTGACACAGCTGGTGAGGGAGCCAACTAGGGAGGGCGTCCCGCTGGAGCTGTTGTTTGTGAACAGAGAAGGACTTGTTGGTGATGGGATGGTTGGAGGTTGTCTCGGGCATAGCGATCACAAAATGGTGGAATTTTCAGTTCTTGGAGAAGTAAGGAAGGGGTGTCAGCAGAACTGCTACCTCGGACTTCCAGAGGGCAGACTTTGGCCTGTTTAGGAGCCTGGTTGAGAGACTCCCTTGGGAGGCAGTCCTGAAGGGCAAAGGAGTCCAGAAAGACTGGACATTCTTCAAGAAGGAAATCTTGAAGACACAGGAGCAGGCTGTCCCTATATGCCAAAAGACAAGCCAGTGGGGAAGAAAACTGGCCTGGCTGAACAGGGAGCTTTGGCTGGAACTCAGGGAAAAAACAGAGAGTTTATGACCTTTGGATGAAAGGACAGGCAGCTTGGGAGGACTACAAGGATGTCATGAGGTTATGCAGGGAGAAAATTAGAAGGACCAAAGCCCAACTAAAATTGAATCTGGCTGCTGCTGTAAAAGACAGTTAAAAATGTTTCTATAAATACATTAGCAACAAAAGGAGGGCTAAGGAGAATCTCCATCCTTTATTGGATGCCAAAGGAAACATAGTGATGAAGGTTGAGGAAAAAGCTGAGGTACTTAACTTTGCCTCAGTCTTTCATAGTAAGACCAGTTGTTCTCCGGGTACCCAGGCCCCTGAGCTGGAAGACAGGGCTGGGGTGCAGGATGAAGCCCCCATAATCCAAGGGGAAATGGATAGCAACCTGCTACACCAGTTAGACACACACAAGTCTATGGAGACAGATGGGATCCACCCCAGGGTACTGAGGAAGCTAGTGGAAGTTCTCACCAAGCCACTTTCAATCATTTTTCAGCAGTCCTGGCTAACTGGGGAGGTCCCAGTTGACTGGAAGTTAGCAAATGTGATGCCCAACTACAAGAATGGCCGGAAGAAGGATCCAGGGAATTACAGGCCTGTCAGTCTGACCTCAGTGCCAGAAACGTTTATGGAGCAGATCATCTTGAGTGCCATCATGTGGCACGTACAGGACGACCAGGTGGTCAGGCCCAGTCAGCATGGGTTTATGGAAGGCAGGTCCTGCTTGACTAACCTGATCTCCTTCTATGACAAGATGACCTGCTTAGTGGATGAGGGGAAGGCTGTGGATGTTGTTTACCTTGACTTTAGTAAAGCCTTTGACACTGTTTCCCACAGCATTCTCCTGGCAAAACTGGCTGCTGATGGCTTGGTTGAGTGTACTCTTTGCTGGGTAAAAAACTGCCTGAATGGCTGGGCCCAAAGAGTTGTGGTGAATTGAGTCAAATTCAGTTGGTGGCCAGTCACAAGTGGTGTTCCCCAGGGCTCAGCACTGGGGCCAGTTCTGTTTAACATCTTTATTGATGTTCTGGACGAGGAGATCGAATGCACCCTCACTGAGGTCACAGGTGACACCAAGCTGGGCAGGAGTGCTGATCTGCTTGAGGGTAGGAAGGATCTACAGAGGGATCTGGTCAGGCTGGATCGATGGGCTGAGGTCAGTTGTGTGAGGTTCAACAAGTCTCAGTGCTGGGTCCTGCACTTGGGTCACAACAACCCCAGGCAATGCTACAGGCTTGGGGCAGAGTGGCTGGAAAGCTGCCTGGCAGAAAAGGCCCTGGGGGTGTTGGTCGACAGCCAGCTGAATGTGAGCCAGCAGTGTGCCCAGGTGGCCAAGCAGGCCAACAGCATCCTGACTTGTATCAACAGTAGCGTGGCCAGCAGGGACAGGGAAGGGATCTTACCCCTGTACTCGGCACTGGTGAGGCTGCACCTCGATGATGTGTTCAGTTTTGGGCCTCTCACTACAAGAAATTGAGGTGCTGGGGGGTGTCCAGAGAAGGGCAACAAAGACGTTGAAGTGTCTGGAGCACAGGTCTTATGAGGAGCGGCGTGGTGTTTAGTCTAGAGAAAAGGAGGCTGAGGGGGAGACCTTATTGCTCTCTACAACTCCCTGAAGGGAGGTGGTAGTGAGGTGGGTGCTGGTCTCTTCTCCCAAGTAACAAGGAATAGAACAAGAAGAAATGGCCTCAGCTTGTACTGGGGGAGGTTTAGGTTGGATATTAGGAAAAATTTCTTCACTGAAATGTTTGTCAAGCACTGGAAAATGCTACCCAGGGAAGTGGTTGAGTCACCATCCCTGGAGGTACTTGAAAGTGGAGTTGTGGCTCTTAAGGACATGGTTTAATGGCACTTGGCAGTGGTAGGTTAACGGTTGGACTCGGTGATCTTGAAGGTCGTTTCCAACCTAAACGATTCTATGATTCTCTCAATTTGGGGAGGGTGAGGGGACAGACCCCTAGTGACAAGCCACAGAGAGCCACATGAGACTTGGGACTCACAGATATTGGAGTCTGTGGCCAAATGCAGCGGTGCTTTGCCCTGGGCTGTGTCTCTGGCTGCTGCCCACAAGTGGAGCGAGAGGTATCGTCTGTTGCTCTCCTGTCCCCAGAGCTGAAGGCATCTTGGCAGCCTGTCCCCAGTTATTGCAGGACTGCTGGGGTTGCTCTCCTGTGTCACACAGGCAGGGGGCCCTCCTGCTCCAGCACACTGGGAGCCAGGTTCGCCATGAACATCCCAGTGGTATGGGGAGCAGGCTCCAGCTGCTGCTTCACCCCTGCCTGAAAGGGAGCTTTCTCCTTTCCCTTTGCCTTCACTGACCAAGAGCTCCAGAGCTCTCCCTTTGTACCTGCAAGCTGGCCAAGAGAAATAACTCGGTGGGGCACTTCATCTCCCAGACTTCCCAGTAACAGGGCATAGAGCAGTCCTGGGTTGCAAAGTGGCCCTGGGAAGCCTTGTGCTAGGCAGAGAATGCAGTTTTCTCCCTTTGGGGTTCCAGCCCTGCACATGGGGCTGCTGGCACTGCCCTCCCAGGTGTCACTACCACGACTGCTGTACCAGAACCACTTTCCCTCCTCCCACCAGTCTCCCACCAGCAGGTGCTGGGCTCTAGAAAATGTGTCAGGAAAGAGGCCAGAGCCTCGTTCAAGACAGCACAAGCTCATTCAAGCAGCTGAATTACACGCCTTCAGCAGCAGCTCCCTGGCTGTAAATCTCCAAACGTGGCTCTTTATTCCTCTCATCTGCTCTGGCTTGTCCCTGCTCTGTTTGCAGAAACAATTCCCTGGGTCCCCAAGGGTCCCACTGCAGCAACCTCATCTAAGCAGGCACCATCAGCCTGGTGGGACATGGGGAAAATGCCACCCTGCGTGGGAACCCGATTGTCCTGGCACTGTGTTCTTACTTGCTCTGCTCTTTCTTGGTGATGCCATAAGCCCCAAGCCCTTCCCTGCTCCCCTGGCTTCATGGGTCTGACTCCAGCACAGCCACTTGGTCCGCTGGTGTTGGAGCACCTCTCCCGCTGTCAGAATCTCTCCTCTCCAGAAGAGGAATGAGCAGAGGTTTGCACTCAGAGGAGGATGGTTTGAAGCTCGCCTGCCATCCTAGGAGATGGGCACTTGGACCTACAGCTGGTGGTGGCCGTGCTCTGTTGTGCCTGGCAGTCACAAGCTCTGTTGTGGCCTTGGGGTGGTCTGTGGGACCTTAGTCAAGTCAGCTGAGGCTGAGCTCCCTCTTCTCCCAGCCCTGCTCAGTGCCCCCATTTCTCAGTGCTGTGCAACAAGATGCACTGTGTTAAACTGGAGCAGTTTCTCACCTGCTGCAAGTGAATGCTGAGATGTGCACTGCACAGCCCTGAGCTTCATCTGCTCAGGCTAATGCTGGAGGCCCCAAAAGCCCCCAGAAAGGCCACGGCATCAGCTAGGTAGGTGTGTTCTTACCTTTCCTGTGGCTCCCTGACAGGAGTCACTGAGGAGGAGATGGCAGGCAAAGGCATGTTGCACAGGGGCATGGTGGTCTGTAGGCCCAAGGGGCTGCCTCTTGGGTAAAGAGAGCGGCAGGGTCCCGAAGGGAAGGGGGCTGCTCCTGGCTGGGGGTTGCTGTTCACTTTGCTGTGCCCTCTGTGCAAGCCATGAAGTGGCTGGATAGTTCACTATCACTCGGTGGTGGAATGTTCCCATCTCCCTCATCTCACACCAAGAATGACCCTGTCTCACTCTGTCCCTGTCTTACAGCAACCACAGCTGATCGGTTCTACAGAATAGACCGCGCACAGGTGAGTGCAGCCTCGGCCTCTATTTCATCATCCCCCCAGCATCTCTGTTCAGTTTTGGACCCCTCACTACAAGAAAGACATTGAGATGCTGGAGCCTGGCCCAGAACCAGCCCCAGCATCTCTCGGGTCCTGCAGAAAAGGGAGGATGCGTGTGTGGGAGCACAGAGACTTGGTTTGGAAGCTGCCTGCAGAGAGCCCTGCCGCAGAGTGGGTAGGGAATAGCAGTGTAGCAAGGCTGGCCAGGGTGCCCAGTGACTGGGGTCATCTTAACTTTCCCTAATGATCTGGAGAGAAGGACATGGGTGTACAGGTCATCTGCTAAGTTGGCAGGAGATAGAAAGCCTGAAAAGGACAAGGAAATGCAGAGGCTTCACCGGCACAGGTCCCAGGACTCTTCAAGCCACCATTGCTCTACTGAGCGAGTGGGTGGGCTGCAAAGCATGGGGTGTGAGGGGATGGAGCTATGCAGAAGTAGGTCTTGCTTCTGAGGAGGGCTGACTTGTGTCTTTCAGGAGCACCTCAACTATGTGACAGAGATCTCTCAGGATGAGCTCTATGTGCTGGACCCAGAGCTGGTGATCACCCAGACTGTGGGCACCTCTCCTGCCATGCCTGACCTCGTCGACTCGTCTGCTACACCCACTGGGCACCATTTTGCATTCCCCTCCGCTTCCTCCTCTCCACCCTCCTCTCCTGCCCCCAGGTGAGTCTGGAGTGGGGGTGCTGGACCTCAGGAAGGATGGGCAGTGATGCAAGAGCCAGGGTTCCCTTCACAGCATTGATCCCTGGGCCAAATTACAGGGAGGCTCTCTAGAAGTGAGGAAGAATTCAGTGCTGAGTTAGACCAAGGGGTGAGGTGTCATCTTGTCTTCTCTGCTCCTCTTCCAGTGCTGCTGGGAGCACTGGGGCATCACCAGATGGCTCAGCCTGGCCTGCAGGATTGAAGGGCATAGATGGCTTTTGTCCCATCTGAGGCCAGCCTCAGGCATGGGTGAGCAACAGAGCTGGGAGCAGCAGTAGAAATGGGAGTTGGGAAGAACCCAGATGAGGGAAGAAGCAGAAGGCATGGCCAAAGAACAGCAAAGTCCTTTGGCCTGCCACTCCTCCTGCCTGCTGGAGGGGTGCCACGGGCAGGCTTACTCCCAGCCACCCCTTTTGGATGATCTGCTGCCAGGACTGCCAGGGTTAGTTACCCTTTTTCTTCTTCCCTTCCAGTGCTGAGCCTGACCGCTGCCTCCCGCACAAAGGTGAGCCCTGTCCCAGCCTCTGTCGCACCCCCTCTCAGGTCGTGCTGGTCTGGGTCCCTGCCACGTTTTTTTTGGCCTGGTGTGCAGGCAGAATCCCTGCTGCCTGTGTGCCAGGCAGGAGCATTGGAGCCCTGTGGGCGGGTGACCCCAGAGGTGAGCAGGAAAGCCCTGACAGTGATTTGTGGGGTGGCCTGGCCAGGCGCCTTCCCGGCTCCACGGGAAATGACGTGGCGAGGGGTTAATCCCCCACCTGTGGAGCTGAGCGGGCTGGGTTGAGGGGCTGTATCTGCCAGAGGGCTGGTGGGAGCTGGGGAGGGAGGTGGGAACACAAGGTCAGGGGCCTCACCAAGCTGAGCAAATGGAAAGAGTTTCCTGGAGCTTTTGTGGAGCCCAGTGCCTGAAAGTGTGAGTGAGTCATGGGTGAGAGGCATCTCGGCCGGTGGCTGACACTCTGGAGATCTGCTCCCTGCTTCCATCACATGTCACCCTGCCTGTGGGCAGAGACTGCTCCCCAGCACATGCTCCTCCCTGGGGCTGAGGTCTGGCTGTACCCCTGGCTATGTGGTGTCTCCCTCCTTCCCCTGGCTTGTCTCTTACATGCCTGAAGGTGGAGGAGCCACATAAATCCAGTCTGACTAAGGGCTAAGGGGTTAGCACCTGGAGGAGCTCATGCTGTACTCCAGCTGACTGCTCCACGCCTCTGGTGCCCAACCCTTAGCTCCAGCATTAAATAAATGGCATTGCAGCTGGACTTTTCTGACCATGACCTATCTCCTTTGCAGATGACCTTCTGATAGAAGCTGCCAAGAGTGGCAACTTCAGCAAGGTAGGCGCTCCCACTGCGATGAGCAGCGGGGCTGGCTCTGGGCAGTCTCCCTGCAGCGTGCTCAGCTGATGTGCCCCTTGGGCTATGGGAAGCCCTGCCAGCCACACTCCACAATTGCCCTGGAGCAGCTACTGTCGAGCCTTCCTCTAGGAGTGGTGGCTGGAAACCAGACAGGCTCCTGGCAACAAGCCCTGTTCCTCTCCTGGGGGACACAGAGGGAAGGGACTTGGTGTCGTGGCTGAGCTGGACAAAGCTCCTTGCCAGGCCCCAGATATCCACATAACCTGCCAGGCACCCTGGGGACACAGCTTCAAGGCTTGGGGCTTGTAGCTGGGAAAGGTAACTTATCTCGAGCAATCTGGCAATCCTGTAGTTCCAAGAGCTGCACCGGGCTGGAAGAGACTTGATGGTGCGAGACTCCTCGGGCCAGACCGTCCTCCACCACGCTGTCAAATCAGGGAGCAAGGACATCGTCAAATACATCATCGAGAACGGTGAGCTGGGGCCAGAGTGCCACCCTTAGCAAAGGAGCCCGACAGCCAAAAAAACTCAGTGCTTTGCTCAGAAGGGGTGCTCCTGGGCTTAGATCCCTTCCATCCAATTTTGCTATATCCTCGTTTTGGCATATGGGCTTTCCCTGGCATCTGTCTGCCAGCGGTGGGGTGCCCCCGTGGCTGTTGCCGCATCCTGGCAGGGACCAGCATGTCTCTGGGAAACATTTCTCAATGTCCTGCTTCAGGGCAGCTGACCTGTTGTTTTTGGCAGCTCTCACTGAAATACAGGCTGCTTTATTTTTATTTGGATGTTTCTCTGTAATGAGTCCACAACAGCTCTTCTTCCCTGGGCTCAGCTGGCCTCAGATGCCGTTGCTGGCCTGAATGCTTTGGAGCCAGGACCTTTGTAGGCCTCATGGAAATGGCAGCCCCTATGGAAAGATGCAGAGTGTGACTGGGGAGTAGGCAGGTCTGTCTCTGCCCTGCAGCTGGGTCTCACTCACCCTGCACTGTCTTTCTCTCCACAGCCCCTTCAGAAATCCTCGATGCCACAGAGGAGAAGAAGTAAGTTGGTGACTGACCTGCATTACCTGATGGCCAGACCCTCTGTGGGGTGACCAGTCATCTGGGCACTTACCAGCTGCCCTCGGTCTGGTTACCAGCCACGGTTCCCAGTCCACGCTGGACTGACCCTCCCCAAGTAGCACCTCCTCCTCTGCCAGGGCTGCCTGGACAAGCACGCAACCCACCATCAGCTCCTGCTGCCTCTGAACTGCTGTCCCTCACTGCCACCTGCATGTGCTGCTTGTCCCTGTTCAGGGGGACATCTCACATGTCCCGCTTTCTCCTCCCCAGCGGTGAAACCAGCTTGCACCAGGCTGCAGCCTTACGCCAGCGCACTATCTGCCACTACATCGTGGAGGCCGGGGCTTCGCTCATGAAGACGGACCTGCAGGTGACGGTGGGAGGGCTAGCAGGGGGGCTTCAGGGGGGGACCGGGGGGCTGGCACGAGCAGGGCCAGCAGGAGAGCAGAGCAAGAGTGTTTTGGCTGGGGTCTTTGCCAGCCAGAGGGGAGCTGACACGAAGCACCCGTGCTTGCCTGGCAGAGCCCGGCTGCAGAGGGGTTAAATCCCTCCCCTCCCCATGCTTCTCTCCCTGTTGTTTTATTAAATTAAAAGCAAGGGGCTGGAATGTCTCATCCCTGTCTCCCCCTTCCCACCCTCCGGGGTCAGAGCAAGGACACTCCTGCTGTAAGTTCCCTCCCAGCTGCAGGGCTCCCCCCGCTCTCCTCCACGAGTGGCCGTGATGGGGGTGCTGAGAGCTCCTCTCGGCGGGCCCTTTCCCTCCCATGTCAAGTTAACTGAGATGTGCCTTGGTGCCAGGGAGTTGCACCAGCCCTGGCAGAGGAGTTGGGGGAAGGGGGGTTGAGGCTGTGTTTTGGTAGCAGAGGTCCCTGGGGCTGGCATGCGGCAGAGAAGACAGGGTTGCTTCTGTCTGGTGGAGGCTTGAAGCGATGGGCTGTAGAACAAGCCAAAAAGGTGCAAGCTGTGGGTCTGGGACATGGTGTAGGAGCCCAGCTGAAGGGTGCAAGCTTGCTGGGGCCGGTGGAGCTTGGGGGCCACCTCAGACAATGCGCAGACCCGTTACTGCTGCCAGGGAGGTGCTGTACAGACAATCTCTGGCTCCCCATCACTCCTCCTTGGTCCTAGTCTAAGGTTTGGGCCTTGCACAGTGCCCAGAGCGGGGCTGGCCTGGCTGGAGACTCAGGTGGCAGTGGTGAGAGGACAGCTCTGGGGGCACAGCCCCTCTCTGCCGTCAGCCCCCTCATCTGCCTGAAGGAGGGGAGCAGCCCCCAACCTGCCAGCACAAAAGGCAGTCCCGCTCAGGCTTGTTGGCTGCCCCAGGGAACAGGGCTTGCACGTGCCTGTGCAAACGCGTGTCCAGGTTTGTAGCTGTCTGGGGACCCCTCAGCGCTGACCTCGCACGGGCTGCGGGTCACAGCCTGCCTGCATGGGCAGGTTCCCAAACCCAGCATCAGACCTGTAGCACGGGTTTGGAGCGGGCTGATCATCCATCCCACACCCTGCAGCGGTGAGGGAGGCCGAGCCTTATCGGCTGGCATGCCTCAGCCCGGCAGGGCAGAGGGGCCCTGGCAGCTCCGGTTTCAGGCTGTGGGCAGGCAGCGTTGCAGTGGGGCTGCTGCAGGGGGACGGGAAAGAAACTCAATTCCTCCTCTGGTTTTTTCCCCCCACTTTGTTAAATGAGCGCTTGCATAAAGGAGGCCCCCGAGGAAAGCCGGCACCGAAGCACAGAGATGTCTCCATTCCCCTGCCTGTGTGCCTGCTGGGGGATGTGTGTGGGACCAGGGGGCATGCTCAGTCTTGGGGTGCGCATGTGAAAGAAGGGGTTTCTCAGTGCATCGCACCTCTCCGCAGCTGCGCATGAGTGGGCTTTTGTCCACAGCTGCATCCAGGCCCGGCGGAGGCTCTGCATGTCTGACCATTGTTCCTCCTGGAGAAATACGGCTGTGGGTCACCCTGGAGGCCCCAGCACCCCACCGCAGCCGCCGGTGCCCCGCTGTGCACCCGAGGAGGAGCCGGGCAGGCCGGGCATCCCTTCCGGGGCCGGTTTTCAATGGCAGCGGCAGAGCGCCAGGTTTCCGCGGCCTTTCTCAGCGGCACAGCAGAGCCCGAGCGCTTGGCGAGGAGGAGCGAGGAGCAGGGGGAGGGAAGGGGGAGAGGAGACGGAGCTGGGAGCTGTTAACAGATTTGCTTTTTATGGAGTGCGGGAGTTCATTAGTGGACACAGTCCAGATGGCTGCAATAAGCTGGTGAAATGTGATCCTCCTCCGGGAGCAGGAGCGCTAGCCGGGCTGCGAGAGGGAAGGGGGGTTGGTATTCCTGGGCATTCCCTAGACATACCCCTCATTCCTCACCCTCTCCCGCCTGCCTCCCCAGCGCCGGGGAAGAGCAGGTCATGGGGACCAACCTTTGTCTCCTCTCAGGGGGCTGGTGACGGTCAGGACCAGTCTCTGTCTTGGCCCATGCGTGGGGCTGATGGACCTGCAGAGGACAGCTTCCAGCCCTGCAGCAAAGTCGGGCTCATGGCGAACACATAGGCATTTGGCTACCACCTGCCTCAGGGCTTGGCTGCGGGCTCTGCTGGACCCAGCTGTGGCCACCTTTTTGGTGGGGGAGTGGGGGCACCTTTGGGTGTGTTTAGACAGTGCTGGATGCCCTGACATCTTTTGCCTCCCCTATGCAGGGAGACACCCCCAAGCACCGGGCTGAGAAAGCCAACGACCCCGACTTAGCTGCCTACCTCGAGAACCGACAGCACTACCAGATGATCCAGCGTGAGGACCAGGAGACAGCTGTGTAGTGCTCAGCGTGCCTTAGCCCAAGCCAGCTCGGGCAGGACAAGGAGAGGACAATGCCAACTGGCAGAGCTGTGAGTCTGGCCCAGCCCTCCCTAGATGTCAACCTGGTCCCCGGAGGAGATGGAGACAGCAGAGCTCTGCCCCAGGCTGGGCTGGGACTCTGTTTATGAGGACAGTGGGTATTTGGGACTTGAAACCTGGCTCTTTGTGTGTGTCCCCCTTCACATTCCCTGCCCTGGATGGGCTCCATCCCACAGCCCTGTTGGGACAGGCCAGGCTAAAGCCCCCAGTCACCCTTGTGCACTGGAGTGATGCCAGTGCCCGCTCCGCAGGCTCCTACCTATGATCCTTGTGGGATATCATTGCTCGCCCCCTCTCCCTGCCGTCAGTACCCCTTGTTTAGATGCTTGGCTAGGTTCATGTCCTGCTCCTCCTTTCCTGTCTGGTACAGCCATGGGAGGCACAGGCTATGCGGGCAGACAGTAGAAGCCGTGAGCCTCAGACTTTGCCCCAAGGGAAGCGCTGTGACTTACTGCCCCTGCCTCCTCCCTGCTCCTGTTGGTTTGGGGCTGCCCCAGGTCTCTGTGTGGCCGTACCAGGGTCTTCTGTGGCAGGAGGGAAGTCTCTGGCGCACCCAGCCTTTCCTCAGCTGCCCCAGTCCCAAATGCTCTGGAAGCAGGGCAGCCACCGCTCTCCTGGTTGTCTTTAGTGCACAAGCTAGTCAGCAGTCTGGCCCAGGGCAGGGATGACTTGGAGGAAGGCTACTGAGTCCTCCCGCCGTCCTTCCCTCTGCAGGGCTGGCTGGGGCAGCCTGAACACCCCATGTCTACTGGCATCTCTCCGTGAGCCTGCTGCAGCACATGGCCATGGTGGTGAGCTGTGCTTGGACTGGGCAGAGGCGGTGGTGGAGCCCATTCTATTTCCCAAATGCTGATTTGGATCCAGCTGCCCTCCCCACTTCAGCTCCCCCCCTGATACTAGAGGTTGCACTGGGCTGGAGGGGCAGTGCTGGGGTCAGTGCTGCTCTCAGGGATTTCCCCCATGCCCCCCAACCTGTCAACATGCATCCTCTGAGTCCAACTCCTGCTATCCCCCAAAAGAGGCTCAGGGCTTTGCAAGGAAAACTTGGGAGCCCGCCCAGCCCAGACAGAAGCTCCCTGGGCAGGCCACCAGCTCACCCTCTTCAGTTTTGGCAGAAAGAGGGATTTGGATGCATAGGAAGCATCAGTGCTCCCAGCCCCCAGTCACATGTGCAATGGGATGACATTTCACCCACCGCCTGCCATGGGGCACGAGGCACCATGACCCATCTCCCCTGTGACTGCTGTGGGCACTGAGCATCCACAGAGGCATCAAGCCAGCCCTTCAGGAAGGCTTTTGCAGAACTGACAGTCTTTGGGACCAGGAGGTGCTAGCAGAGGAAGAGAGCTGATGGCTCTGGGCCTTGCAGACCTGCTTGGCACCTTTGGGTGTGCAGCAGTTGTGAAGTAGGTTTCTGCTCTCAGCTTGGGTCCCAAGAGAGGAAGGGGAGGAGGATGCACAGGGTCTGTGCAGTCCCACCTGCACTCACGCCCAGCTGTGCCCACTGGGTAGTGCTAGGTGGCACCGTTTTAATCCCTCCTAATACCAATACCAAAAAAAGAGTATGAGGATACTGCAGAAAACCAGAATACCCTTCAGGCTTTTTGGAGGACGAGGGATGCCATGGTGGGGAGCAGAGGTGCAGGGCAGTGCAGAATGCCAGGGGCCAGCAGCAGTGCTGGCAATTAATAACGACAGCACGCCAGTCTGTTCAGAGCTGGGATGCTCCAGCAGCACCTGGAGTTCCATCAGCACTGCTCTCAGGCCACCAACAGACAAGGCACTGTCATCTCAGAGGTCCAAACTGCTGCCCCTCCAGCCGGCACCACCCAGCCTGGCCCAGGGGCGTTTACAGCTCCAGCTTCCCAGTTTCTCCCTGGTTTTGTATCTTCCCTTATAGTTTTTGTACAGGTAGTTGAGAGACACACTGTCCCCCTCCCTTCCTGGCCCCTCCATGTGTGTGTGAGCTGAGTTGCTGTGCAATTCCAAGCCTGGCTTATATTTTGGTAAAGGCGGAGGGGGTGTTGGTTGCCCTGCCCGTGGAGGGCAGGGGTTGTGTGCAATACCTGGGTCTGTGTTTCCTAAACGCTGTTGTAGGATTGTATTTTTGTAACTCTGTGAGGGTGCCGGCTCCAGCAGGCCCAGGGCCTGGCACGAGCCTGTGCTCCCATTGCTTTTCAACTTGGACTGTTTGGATGTTGTTGTTTCTTGCCATTGAAATAAAGAGATGGATGTTTTAGTTCCTGTCTGCCGCTGCATCTGCAAGAATGCAGCAGGCGCTGCACCAGTGATGCCCCGCACAGTGCAAGTGAGGTTGTACCCTGAGGCCTCTGCCCCTGCCCTAACTGGGGGTGCTCTTGGGGGAGTTCCCTGCTGAGCCAGGTCCTTGCCTGCTTCCCTGCACAGCATCCCTCTGGGACAGTTCCTGGATACAGGGTCTATGTCCTGAGGGACTTTCTCCCCCATTCCGTGGCATACATCAATACTGGGTGTAATGTGGAACAGGGAAACAGTGCACCATGATCCCAAGTGATCCATAAGGGCTTGGAAGTGTGGATTGGGAGCTGGCACCCTGCTGTTCCTTGCCCTGCTCCAGTTTTTTCCTGGAATGGGAGGCAACAGCTAATGGCTGGTACTACAGCGGCATCCAGCCTCCAGATTTCAAAATGTTTGTCGTCTTTTTTTTATGGTGAGCTGTCCCCAGCCACGCTGCTCTGCAGCTCTTCCCGTATGTTCCCAGCTGCAGAGGGGAGCCTTAGGGTCCTGCCTCCAGTGCTGAGCACTGGGGCTGCAGTGTCGAGGGCTGGGATTATCTCCGCTGCTCCGACGGGAGGACGGCTCTCCAGTTACACAAGTGGGGGATTAGGGATGCTTCTGCTTCCAGACTTGTAAGGATGCCCGCGGCCAACACCATCTCTCATGCAGAGTTTTCTTTGCAAAAGGGAGGTGATCGTTATAGCCGGCGGCGTGCTGGGGAGGGAGCCGGAGATGGACACAGTGGGTGATGGGGAGCTATTCTCCTACCTTAAACTCAGATTCCTGAGGGCAGTTTGGCAGCCTGCCTGTCGCTCCTGCCGCCCCCTCTCCACCCGGAGAAGCAGCCTCCTTCTCCAGCTGCGTTGTCCCTTCCACCCCGCCGTGCCTCCCTTTCATCGCCTTCAGCCTTTCAGCTCCTGCCCAGAGCTAACAGTGGGGGTCTGTAGTGGGTGTAAGGCACACCAAATTGTCCCGGCCTCCCTGGGCCGCAGCCCAGGGACCAGGCGTACGTGCAACTAGGAGGAGGGGGCCCACTCTGCTTCAGTGCCCAGACCCTGGCGCGTTGGCGCTTGGCCCGTGTCTCCGCGGGGAGGACCGTCAGTAACCATGGCAATGAGAGTTTTCTAGCTGCCTTGGTGTCAAATTTATGGTGGGGGAGAGAAGTGGTCCCAAAATACGATTGCTGTGATGAGGGGTGTTAGGAAAGTGGCAGTCTACCTTCAGGGAAGAGCCCTGCCCTTCTCCCCGAAGTGTTTCAGCATCCTTTCTCTCTTTCAGCCGGGTGTCGGGTGTCGGAGGTCTGTCTGGCCTCCCGTGGGCTGGAAACACCCCTGGGGGTGTATGCATGGGAGACACACCGTGCAGGCTGGGGAAGGACGTGCAAGCCCAGCCCCAGCTGAACAGAGCTGGGGTGACAGCAGTTGGCCCTGTTAATGATTACCTGCCCCGCAGCCGCCTCCACAAGCCCCAACAGGGAAAACTCCCCCCGTGCGCAGCTGGGTCCCCACGCTGGCAGTGGGGTAACTGCCCCAAGGATCAGGCTTTGACTGGAGGTGGAAAATGCAGAGCTGCCATGCCATGAATTACATTGTGACGTTTTTAGAGGTGGAAAGCTCAAGTTAAGGAATTGCAGGGAAACATACCTGGGTTGGTCACGCTCCCTCTCTTCCCTCCTTCCCTCAGTATGAGGCCCCTTTCTGCAAACACAGCCTCCTGCTGCTTGTTTGAGCTGGGGAAAGGGCTGTTCCCCCACCTCTGCATCCCTCAGAAAGTGCCTGAAGGGTCCGAGCACGGCCACTGCCGAGAGCGATGTGCACCAATGCATCTCTGCTCGCCCACAAAACTAGCACCTGTCTCCTGGTCTCCAGCCTGAGGAAGCAATGGGAACGGCTGAAAACAGAGAGAGGAGTGAAAATTTGCACCATACCTTGGGCTGCTCTGCCCTGGGGACCCCAACAGGGTCTCTGGCTCCTGGCCAGAGATGGCTGAAGGAAAGCAGCAGCGCTTGCCCCCACACCCAGCCCTTTCACAGCGCTGCCAGGTCCTGGTTTGCTCATCACAGTCCCATAACTCAGACTTGCAAACCTGATGCCACTGAACCCCAGCCAAAAGCAGCACACCTAGGCCCTTCCCCTTCTCTTGAGCGTGAAGTTTGTCTCTGCAGCTTTCTTCAGCTTTGGTTTAAAGGCCCAGAGATTGGTGGGGGAGAACTACTGTCCAGCTGTCAGGACTCATTTCTGCATGCCGTGCTCAAAGGTAGAGCCCAGGATGCCCAGAGCCCTCATCACCCAGAGCAGCACCCATTGCTGTGTGTGTAGCGGGCAGGGGAGACGACGTGCTCCCACAGTTGCTGCCCCTCCTCGAAACCTCTGCAGATGTTCAGGAAACTGCCGGCAGGGTGTGAGTTAAATGTGGGAATCTCTCGGCAAGCAAGCGATTCCTGGTGGTGAAGCAGCTCATAAAAATTACACCCCACCCCACCTCCCCCCCCAACCCCACCTGTGTCTGCCCTGCTTTCAGCAGCTTTCTTCCAGGGCAAGGGGTGGAAAAATGTCTCAGTTCCTCACCACAGCCCCATTCTTCTGGGATGACACTTGCCTTTCTAGCTGCTAACTCCAGAAGTGAGTTGGTTTGGCCCTTGCCTCTCTTCACCTCCTTAGAAAAGGGGGTGGATGGGGGGAAGGGAGCAGTCACGTCTGCAAGTTCCTTGCACCCCCGACAAGCGGGGCTGAGCTCTTCTCACCGCTTGGTCTGAGGAGCAGGGTTGTGGCGTGGCTGAGCTGGGGACGGGCTCAAAGGATGGAGCTGGGGAGACAATTGGGCCAGCATGAAAGAGATGTGCTGCTTTGGGTGCTGAGCAGGTAGCCCCCTCCCCAGCGCCCTCCCACGAGGGGCAGAGCCAGCCGATGAGGGTGAAAAGGGCAGAGACCATGAAAAGTGGGTTCACCGATGCCAGTGGCCTTGATGGGGAAGGAGGCGTCCACGGAGCTGATGGAGACGCAGGGTGGTTCCCTTCACTCCATCCAGCCCCAGGGGTGCCCCAGGGACCATCTTCCAGCGGGTCTGAGAGCGGCGGGGAGCCCTGCCCGGCGGTTCAGCCTGCACCCCTTCACCCACTCGGCGTTGTTGGGGTGCGTGGTCACCTGAACCCCCACGG